CATTTTATTGATTTTTTATAGAGAGGAAGGGAGAGGGATAGAGAGTTAGAAACATTGATGAGAGGAGAAACATCGATCAGCTGCCTCCTGCACACCCTCCACTGGGGATGTGCCTGCAGCCAAGGTACATGCCCTTGACCAGAATCAAACCTGGGACCTTTCAGTCTGCAGGCTGATGCCCTATCCACTGAGCCAAACCGGTTAGGGCTCTATTTCTTTTTTAAAAAAATTCTTTATTGTTGAAAGTATTACATATGTCCCTTTTCCCCCCATTGTCCTCTCCCAGCCTGCCCCCACTCTCCAGTCCCGGCCTTTACTCCACACCCCCCCCCCCACCCTTGTCTGTATCGTTGGTGATGCTTATATGCATACAAGTTCTTTGGTTGATCTCTTACCCTCCTACCTTCCCCTCCTGCCAACCCTCCCCTGCCATCCCTCTGAAATTGGACCGTCTGTTCGATGCTTCTATGTCTCTGGATCTATTTTTGTTCATCAGTTTATGTTCATTATAATCTACAAATGGGTGAGATCGTGTGATACTTACCTTTGTCTGGCTGGCTTATTTCACTTAGCATAATGCTCTCCAGGTCCATCCATGCTGTTGTAAATGGTAAGAGTTTTTTCTTTTTTACAGTTGTGTAGTATTCCATTGTGTAGATGTATCACCATTTTTTAATCCACTCATCTGCTGATGGGCACTTAGGCTGTTAGCAAATCTTAGCTATTGTAAATTGCACTCCAATGAACATAGGGGTGCATATGTTCTTTCTCATTGGTTGAGGTTTCTGATTTCTTGGGATATATTCCTAGAAGTGGGATTACTGGGTCAAATGGAAGTTTCAATTTTAATTTTTTTAGGAGACTCCATACTGTTTTCCACAGAGGCTGCACCAGTCTGCATTCCCACCAGCAGTGCAAGAGTGTTCCTTTTTCTCCGCATTCTCGCCAGCACATGTTGTTTGTTGATCTGTTGATAATAACCATTCTTACAGGTGTGAAGTGGTACCTCATGGTTGTTTTGATTTGCATCTCTCAGATGATTAGTGATTTTGAGCATTTTTTCATATGCCTCTTGGCCTTCTATATGTCTGTTTTCGAGAAGTGTTTATTTAGGTCCTATGCCCATTTTTTAATTTGTTTACTATATTTCTTGAGTGCCTACTGTGTATCTATCTAGCCAGTAGATAATGCTAAAATCCTTTGGATTTATCGAGGAGTTATCAAGTTCTTGAAAAGTTTGAGAGCATTCACCAGTAAATCTATTGAGACCCTGTATTATTATCTCCTTTTCTTTAAATGGGGGTTTGAGGGCATTGATAATTCTTTTTCAGTTTCTTCCAGAGTTATTGATGTGTTCAGATTTTTCTACATGTTTTGAGTTATGTTTGACGTTGTACAAACCATCTTTGATCTTGATTTTTTTTTCAGATGCATTGTAGTTTCCTCTCCCTTTTAAAATAACTGCCTGTTATTTGTGGCTTTTTGAATTTTTAATTTGTTCAGATTTATAGGAGTTGGACTTTTAAAATTTTTGTTTTGATAGTAACCAACTGTATTCAATTTTTCAATTGATTTCTGCTCTCATATTTTACTATACTTATATGAAATTAAGTATTAAGTATCTGGTATTCTTTATGAAAGATTTAGAACAGTGTTTCCCAGTTGCTTCATAGAATACTAGATCAATGGGTTTAGTGGTCAGATTAATCTGGAAACCAGATTATTATATCCCCTCTTATAGATTTGTGAGGATATTGTTAGAAATAATGCAATAAAAAACTTTTTAACCTTGTTTTTAAACTTACCTGATCCCAGAAATCTTTATTCATGTAAGGCTTATTAAACCATAAATATCCTAAGAAGTCACTTGGGGGAACATTTAGAGCAGTAGATCTCATTCCTGGTTGTACATGAGAATCACCTTAGGGCTTTGACCCATTAATTCAGAATCTCTTGGGATGGGGCATTAAGTATTTCTGATGAGGAGCCAGGATTGAAAACCATTCATCTAAACAGGGTTTGGCAAACTATGGCTCTTGAGCCAAATCGAGCCCACTGCCTGTTTTTGTATGGCTCACAAACTAAAAATGGTTTTACTTTTTAAAATAGTTATAAAAAAATCAAAAGATATTATCAAAATAACATGCTTTTGAAAAATATTTGAAATTCAGATTTTAGTGTCCATAAATAATTTATTGGAACATAGCCACACCATTTGGTTACATATGGTCTATGGCTGCTTTTGCACTTTGAGTAGTTGCAACAGAGACTGTAATGGCCCCACAAAGCCTAAAATATTTATTTATCTGGCCTTTTATAGGAAACTAGAGGCCCAGTGTACGAAATTTTTGCACTCGGGAGAGAGTCCCTCAGCCTGGCCTGCGCCCTCTTGTAGTTCAGGAGCCCTCGGGGGATATATGACTGATGGCTAAGCTGTCAGTTGGACATCGTTAGTGCTGCTGTGGAGGTGGGAGAGGCTCCCGCCACCACCACTGCTCTTGCCAGCCGTGAGCCCGGCTTTTGGCTGAGCAGCGCTTCCCCTGTAGGATAGGGCCGAAACCGGCTCTCCGACGTCCCCCGAGGGGTCCCAGATTGTGAGAGGGTGCAGGCCAGGTCTAGGGACCCCACCAGTGCATGATTGGGGCTGGGGAGAGATGTGGGAGGTTGGCCAGCCGGGGAGGGACCGCGGGAGGGCTTCAGGGCATATCTGGCCCATCTCACTCAGTCAGTTCCAATCAGCCGGACCCCAGCAGCAAGCTAACCTACCAGTCAGAGCGTCTGCCCCCCGTGGTCAGTGCACGTCATAGTGACTGGTCGACCGGTCAACTGTCTGTCCCTCTTGTTGTCAGTGCATGTCATAGCGAGTGGTTGAGCAGCCTTAGCATATCATTAGCATATTACCTTGATTAGTAAAACGGCCTACTGGTCAACCAGACAGCATATTAGGCCTTTATTATATAGGATGTTTGCCATCCCCTGAGCTAGAGCAGTGGATCCAAAGTTTAGTCCCCTGACCAGCAGCATCATCATCACCTGGGAACTTAATAGAAATGCAAATTATCAAACTCTACCCTGGATCCACTGAGCCAGTAGGTGATGGTGCTTGCTAAAGTTTGGGAACCATTTTTTTTTCAATCAGTGTTATGTAATGACTACTTTTGAAAAGACTTGTAACAGAAAATTTCTACTTTGTCATTCTAATATGTTGTAAATGGAGTATTGCTATGGTACTCTAAAGTCCTTCATTGCCACATAGCTCATGAAACATGAACAACAGAGATGCAGTATTGTCACAGGGCTTAGCATATGGTAAGGATTCATTATACATTTGCTAGATGAGTGAAGCAGATTTCTTAAATGTCATTATTTATATGGAAAAGAATAAAAATTGTGCACATTCACTTTGAGGCTATAATGTTTTTAGGTTTCAGTGGTATTTTATCATGCCAGCCCAGGCAGAGCTTAAGAAACTGAAAGATTAGTACTCAGTTGCTTTCCTCTTGGCAGATTGGTGTTGAGAGGTGGCACATGGGGTGTTGAAGAATAGATAGAACATTTAGTCCAAGTCCAGACTATGTTATCTTCTGAAGGATAGAACGGAAGCTCTCTGCCCTGCAGGATGGCATAATCAGTATCACCACAAGGAATTGTGGGTCCCACATGGTTTTGTGACCCATAGGAAGTCTCTAGTGTGTTTGCTGAGCGTGAGAGTTAAACATTGGAACATTCACTGAAAGGATTAGATAGTTGACTTTTTTCT